ACCTCAAAGTGTCCTTATGAAATTACTCAAGCTCCAAAAGAAAATAGCTATAAAAAATATATGTAGATATATAAATATGGAGTCTTGAGAAAATTAGAGAGGTACTTTAAGGTGGCTCTATGTTGTTAACTAGATGCCAATAAGAGCTAAGTGGTTTTTAAAATATAAAAAAAAGAAGCAAAGTGCAAAAGAAAGACAAATGTGAGTATTGTTCAAGGAGGGTGTAGTCACTTGTATCCTAAATACTCCAATCCTTCCCTAAACCTACATTACAAGCTCAAAAAGTCCTTATGGGACCTCCAACCAAATGTTCTAGAATAGGCGGCGAATTAAAATAAGGGCAAGCCTATGGCACTACTTTTGTGCATCTGAATATCTTTGTGAGAGTGGGAGCTTATTCTTTCCACTTGATATCTCATTTATGTTTTGAATTGCAAACTATGAGTGTGGGATTCTCTCTTAAGTGTAAGGGCGCATGAGATTTGAGTTGTGAATTTAATCCCATTTTCAATTGAGAGGAATGAACGAGGGAAGATAAATGTAATAGAGAGGCAAATTTTGAAGCTTTAGTGTCATGACTTGATTTGCTACTTTGATTTGCATAGTGTTTGAGCACTTGAAATTTAATGAAGTTCATGAAAAGTGTTCGGTAATTCATATGCTTTGGATCAATTATTGGTACCAATCGAAGTCATGTGTTTGTGCTTATAGTAGACCTTTTTGGAATGGCGTGGTATGGATGCACTATTGAGTTAAATACCTGGGAGGAGATTTTGTCACTTTCATTGCTTGAGGACAAGCAATAGTTTAAGTTTGGGGGTTTGATAAGTTGGTATTTTACCAACTTATCTCGTCATTAAGCTTAGGTTTTTGCTATGTTTGAGTGATAAAATCATGTGTTTAATGTCGTTTACAGAAATATTAGAGGTTTTATGTGATTTAGAAGTGATCTCAAAGAAATCAAGTGAAACGAGTCAAAAAGAAGCTAAAAAGAAGAAAATCTGGAAAATGGCTTCAGTAGTCGCAAATGCGACACGGACTTGGGAAATGCGAACAAAACAGAGCTCGCAGTTGCGAGAAATGCATCGCAATTGCGAAGTAAGCCCAGTCATGTGACGTTCGCAAATGCGAAGAATGCGAAGTCTTGATCGCAAATGCGATGGTCAACAGGATAGTCAAAGTTTGGAATTGCGAACTTTTATTCGCAAATGCGAAGATCGCGCTTTAGTTATGGGCAATTCTATAATTTTAAATTTTTTGGCCCCAAACCATTTAATACCTGACTTAGCTCATTTGTAAAAGATCTTTTGGCTTATTTTCAGTCTTAGGACTAGAGAGAACAAGGTTGGAACCTAGGGTTTATGCAGTTACACATGGGTTTTGAAGATTTGAAGATTGTGGTTAAGAATTTCTTACTCCTTTGTACTCATTTTTTCATTTCCTTGCTTTGTGTTGAATATCTAAGTGTATAGTATTTATTTCAACACTTGAATCTTGTTTATGGAAATAATCATATTTAAAGTGTGGATTAAATACCTTGTTGTGCTTATGTATTGAATGATTTTTTATTTTTTATATAGTGAGTTATTGTTACTTTAATTATTCTTGTTCTTTAATATTTCCAAAGAGATTAGCCAACCCTAGGACTCGCTGATTAACTTCGAATTAATTTTGGGAAAGATTATTTGGGGTTGGAAAAATTAGTTAACAAGAACTTGAGGCTTTAACCCTCATTTTATAGATTCTACCTAGGGATAGGATTGAACTACTTGTTGTCATATCCGGGTGTGCTTAATCTCCTAATTGTTTTAGGGATAACTCAATATTAGGAAGTCTTGTTAGTCTTTGGAAGAAGCTAATATAGAATTATTGCCCGTGGCTAATTAACATAAACTCGCTCATATTTGTAAAATCGTAAAATACATTAGATCGTTACTTGAGTGTAATTCCCAATGCATCCATACTTGTAGCCATTGATCATTTTACTTGCTTTCTAGGTTAGTTTACATTTCCGCATTTAGGTATAAACATTTTCTAAAACCAATTGTAAGTGTTTGGCATTGCATAACAAGTGATAATTCTCTTACATTCCTAATCGCCTACATAATGTTCTCTGTGGGATTTGACCCCGACTGATAGTTGGGTAAATTATATTGCATGCGACCGTATCCGTTTACTTTTTAGTAGTGGATTTGGACGTCATCGGGGGGGGGGGGGGGGGGGTTAAAATGTTTTCGACCGAATGGGTCGGAACAAATAAATTATTATATTATTTAAAAAGATTTCTAATAAATTTGGTCGGTAAAAGCACTGACAAGTCAGGCTTTGGAACTCGCAGCTTGTTTAGACCATTTCGGTCGGAATATTTAAAAAAAATTATTTTAATTATAATTTTTCGACCAATTCAGTCGAAAATCTAAATCTAGTCAAACTTCGGAATTTCGACTTTTATTGACCGACAGAATCGGTCGGAAATTTAATTCCATCAATTTTGCGCCAAAATTAGCGACCAAAATAGTCGGTACACGGTCGAAATAAATTAAGAAAAAACAAAATAATTTTTGTTTTTGGCTATTTCCGGCTGAAACGATAGCAAATTTCTAACCTCTTTTTTCAGCCGGAATTTTAGCATTTATAGTAGTGTGCCTACTGCCAAGCACGACTCATCAAGCCAATTCGTGTATATGCTCAGATTTTATTTTTCCCACTGCTTTTATTGTACAATAGTTCAAGCTTAGAAATTATAATTCTCATCATCCCTGTTTCCATTCTCCTTCCCTAATCCTCCAGTTTAATAGAAAATTTAAGAAAATAAATACCAATTTTGTCCTAATTAATAGAGGCAATCCTCATAACTATTGATACCAATAATCCTATCATTTTCTGCAAGCCGCATGAATTCAACTGATCTCCACCTTTTTCCTCTAAATCATAATAAAATCCCAAAATAGTTATAATCCAAAACAATCAATTTAAAATACTAACAATAAATACACAATAAGAGGCTATCTGCATAACTATAGATACCAATTATCTCAACGTTTTCTTCAGGCTCCAAAATTTCAATTTCTCTCCAACTATTCTTCTTCAAATCATAAGAGAAAATCCAATTTGGCTTGAGCTTGGAGTTGATCAATACAATCTCACCATCAGTAGTACTTCTACAAAAGCAAATCCCAGCATACGACGTCGTAGAAGAAAGTGTAATGGGAAAGGCAATTGTACGCTTTGCCCATTCTTCACTACTTTCATACCTCTTTAAAATCCACAAATCCATCTCTTTCGTATTCATTATTCAATAATCAATGGCTGCTAATTTTTCCTCCAGTCCTATCAAGTTAAAAGACCTATTTCCTGGAATATATTGTAGATCTTTTCACAACGAGATAATTCTGAAATTTTCGGTTCTGACATTAAATGCCACTACGCATACTTTATTCTCGTAAACACCCAAGAAATAGATAGCTCCATCAATGCAAACTCCTCCATGCGATAATAGAAATAATGAACGGGTACACTTTTGATCTCTCTCCATGATTCACTTGTGCCTAGAGTTATAACCCAATATCTCTTGGGGAACACAAATGTCATACCTTAAAATCTTGTACTTCTTGTTATCTGGTTCGAAACCTAATGGATAGTGATAATGGCCGGTTTCATTGTCAACAGGAAGAGATCTTGAAGAAAATGAGATAGACAATGTGACTCCGTGTTGGTCATTGGTATATATATATATATATATATATATATATATATATATATATATATATATATATATATATATATATATATATATATATATATATATATATATNTGACGGGGCCCAGTCTCGTCCTTTATATAGTTGTACACTCTATTAGAGGTCTGTAGACAGTCATGTATAGTTGGATAGTATGTGGCCTTGTCGGCTAGCCCTCTCGTATTCCGTATATATATATATATATATATATATATATATATATATGTCTTTTGTCAAAGATTTGGCATGTCCAATCTTAAAATGGGAGAGCTCTGGTTTAATCTCTTTTTATTTGTATTTAGCTTTAATTCATAAAGGTCACTGCCAGACGATAGGAGGCTTGCTTGGGGCGCTTAGTGAGGCACTTATAAAGACAAGAGCTTTTCATGTATGAATCACGGCATTTTTCAAGTGTGTCATAGACAAGGGTGTATGTAGAACTTTTTGTGAGCGGTGTCACAATTAATTGTTTGTCGATGATCCAAAGAAGTTCCGAAGTTGACGAGAATGAGAAGCCGAGCAGCAAGCCAACACAAATAAAAATTGCAAATCTAAGGAGGGATTTGTGTTTAGAAGATGTCAAATAGAATTGTTAATATTGCTTTTCTATTGTAAATCATCCTCTGTCTCATGGGAGGCCAGCGGTTCGAATCCCAAAAAATATCAACCCCTCTTTTTTAGAGAAGCAGGCTCAATAAACGAAAGTCACATAGGCCGGGGGATCGAGCCCGCGACCTTTGCTATCTAAATCAAAGGCTTGACCATTTGAACCAACAACCGAATGTTGTCAAGGCATTTACTGTTCACTTATAGATATCTACAGCAGAAGTATTTCATTAAAACTTCTGACGAAGCGGTGTCACGTGACTCGCTTCGAACTACGTGCGTCCTCCCCGTCATAGGGGCATGAGCCTCGAGCGAATCCAAGAATACTTTTTCACACATTGCTTCCAATGAGAATAAGTAGTCTGATCAAATAGAACTCTATACTCATGCAATGAGATAATTAATTTGGTCGAACACTTCTTATTACTAGCCGAAGGCATGCAAAAAACAAAACCGAACAAAAGCAAGAAATAAAAAGATAGATCAAGAAGTAAAATGAGAAATTTATAATTAAAGGCTCTAATCTCTTGGTGAATACCTTTTACCAACAGAGACGATGTCTTCCATAAGGATTAGGACAAAGAATAGTTATACTCCTATTTCAAAACTTGCAATACATAAACGGCAAGAGGCCATCTATATTACCATAGACACCAATGATATCAATTTCTTCTGTAATCTCCTTAATTTCAATATCTCTCCAACTCTTCTTCTTCCAATCATAAAATAAAATTCATTTTGGTCTGCGCCGGAAGTTAACGATGTACACGATCTCACCATTAGGAGTATAACTACAACAAAAGCAAGACATGTATTCTGCCCCTAAATACATTTGGGGAAAGGCAATAGTATTCTTCACCCATTCTTCAGAACTCTCTAAAATCCACAAATCCATCTCTCCCATTTCCATTCTTGAATGATCAATGACTGCCCATTTTCCCTCCAGTTCTATCAAGTTATAATAATTTAATGTAGGAATATAATATTCGTCTTTCCACAAGGTGATAATCCTGAAATTTTCAGTACTAACATTATATTCCACTATGCATGCTTTACCCTTGTAACTACCGAAGAAACAGCTAACTCCATCAATGCAAACTCCTCCATTAACCGGACTCAGGTGCAACCAATCAAGTGCACTTTTAATCTCTCTCCATGATTCACTTGAGCTAAGAGTGAAAACCCAGTATCGCAAGGGTGCACTGCCAACATGTGTAATCGTCAAAATTTTGTACTTCTTCTTATATGGTTCGAAACCTATTGAATAGCAATAAACGGTTCCTTTTTCAAGGAAATTTAGGGAAGGAAGAGATCTTATTTTTCTTGTAATTGGATTATAAATAATAGGGTCCTGCACCCGTGAACCCAACAAGCAGAACAAACCTTTAACATAATGAAATCTACGATATTTCATGCCATCTAACTCCTCAATACGATTAAAGGAGGACTGATCTATGGTGTACAAATATTTTCCAAACCCTGAACTTGTCAGGAATTTAGTTTTATCAGAACGAAATATAGAGTGGCTTTGATGGATGTCTACAAAAGATGGATCCGATAAAAGAGAGTTACAAAATTTGGAAACTCACTTGAAACGAATTAAAGACTGGACGGGAAGCCAAGAAAATATATCATACATAATCTCTTTAGGAATTATTGAAGAAGCCATAGGGGAAAGTGTTTGTTGGCCGAAGAAGTTCCTCTAGGGTTTAGCCATCTCCATGCTTTATATAGATACGTGTGTTTCGGTGTTCCGCAAAGCTATAACATATGCAAGTACATTAGAAAAATTATTTTTCATATTTGAAAAAGTAAAAAAACGTAGTAAATATGCATTATACTTAGAGGCTAGAGGTGTAAAAAGGATAGGCCCAATTAATGATTCAAAGAATAAAAATAAAAATAATATAAAGTTATTGTTTAAAACTAGAAAACTACACAAACAACCCAATAATATATAATACAAACAGAATACTAAAGATAAATATTAAACTTGTGAGTATTTAAGTATTAGAAAAACTTATTAAGCGATTTGTTTCTAACTTTGGGAAAATTCTTGGGGCTTACATTCCAAATGAACGTCTAGAAGGTTAGGATTAATACCCTTGATACTTATGCCCCGCTAGTCCGCCTTGGTGCTTTGTTAGCTCCCCTCGCCCCGAAACTCGCCTTGAGACTCAACGAGAAATGCATATGAAGACACAGATCTCATCTTCCTAAACCAGCGTATATGCTAAGCCCAAAAAAAAAGGGTGCTATAATATCCATAGCCACACGAATCACTAGTTATGTGTAAAGCGTTAGAAAAATCTTCATGCGAAATCAACAACAGTGAGATAGTGTCTGAGCCAGAAATTTTAACAAGAGAATCGAGAAAATGTAAATTTGCATAGCGAATGATTAACAAACTTAACTATCATGGAATTCAATAATTCACCATATACAAAAAATATTACTCTTTACTGTTTGTTCAATGTAATTTTTTACGAAAAGGATTCAATTGAACCTCCTTCAACTCAATTAGTTCCACCACTGTTGAGACCCGAGTAAAGCTCTTCTATCAAACTTTCTCTCTCTAGACATGAGCTCTCCTCTCAGGAGTAGCTGATATGGCAAGGAAGGCAAAAACTAGAGGAGTAGGGAATATCGTACAACATACCACAACAGGAAGAGACCTAAAATAAGTTCTGCAATCATCGGAAGCGAAGAAATTCCGAAATGTAAATGCAATACAAGGCATAGCTCCATTAGAACTATATAGAATGATGGCATCAACATCACCAATGGTGGACTGGCAACGACATCATGGGCAGATATAATGGAGGAAGAGGGAAGTCAATCAAAATCAGTAGGAAAACAAAGCCATGCAAGACACAAACAGAAGGGGAGAATTGGAGTCGAATTGTAGAAAAAGGGGAACGAAGTGAAGGGTATGACCTAACCATGAATGAAGGGGAGAAATTGAGAGGAAATGTCAAAGTGACTATGGATGACATAAAAGATGAGATAGTCTACTGGAGATCTGATGTAATATGTTATGTGCTGGATTCAAATCCACCACAAACATTTATGGAGGGATACTTCAAAAGAGTATGTGGCTCACTGGGAATAGATAAAATAGCTTTGGTAAACAGGGGTGTATTCATAGTAAGATTTCACTCAATGGAGAACAAGAAAAAAGGCGGTGGAGGAAGGAATTAGAATGTTCGACAAAAAACAATGGTTGTTAAACCATGGAGACCTGATATTGGACTTGACAAGTAGGTGGTTGATAAAATTCCTATGTGGATCAGATTGATGAACCTGGATAGCAAATACTGGGGACAAAATTCCCTAAGAAAAATACCAGGGATGATTGGTAATCCACTGAAAGCGGAAAGAGCAATAACACAAAAGGAGAGGTTGCAATATGCAAGAATTCTAGTTGAAGTAGAACCAAACCAGATGTATCCAAATATGGTGATGTTTGAGAATGAATGTGGAGTGATCATTGGGCAAGAGGTTAGCTATGAATGGAAACCAATTTTTTGTAAATCATGTAGAAACTTTGGACATGATATCACATATTGTAGGAAGCAATTAAGGAGGAAACAAGAGTTGGAGGGAATTAACAAGGAACCAGACAATATGAGGAATACAAATAGCTCCAATGAGGTGGAGGAACCTATTGAGCATCAATAAAACATTGAAGCAAGTAACAACACTACAACTGAAAATGGGAGTACCTAAGACAAGCAGCAGGTGACACAGGGAAATAAGAGTCAAGCAGTAAATAACAAAAGAGAGCAGGAAGCATGGCAAGTGGTACAAAGGAAAAAAATATGGAAGGGTCGAGGAAACAATCAAAACACTTGTGTTGCAGTAACACAGTGGAACAAGAGGAATAATGGGAGGAATGAAGGAGAGGAGAATTCTAATGGTAAACATATGTAATCATAAGGAAATGGTAATAAATCAGGGAAGGATGGGGGACCTAACCCCTCCCCCCCCTCCCTAATGGATAGAATCGAATTTTGGAACACCAGGGGCCTAAATAGGACAACCAAGCAGAAGGAAGTGAACCTATTCCTTCAAAGACAATAGGTTGGAGTGTTTGAGCTCTTGGAAACAAAGATTAAGTGGGCTAAGGCAAATCAAGTTTCTCTTAATCTTTGCACAGGGTGGTCTTATACTACAAATCACTCGAAGCATAATGCAGGTAGAATTTGGTTATTGGGGAAGCCACAAATCTTTACCATAGAGGTGGAAATGGTTACAGAACAACTTATACATAGTATGATTACTCACAGTAGCACAGAAAAAGTGATCAGTGTGACTATAGTGTATGGATTCAATGATCCAACACTAAGGTCCGACTTGTGAAAAGACATTAGGATTATTGCCAACCAAGTGGTAGGGGCATGGGCAATTATGGGAGACTTTAACTCTATACTCAATCAAGAGGATAGAGTGGGAAGTAAGGTGAGTTATGCAAAAATAAAAGAACTTAAAGAATGTGTTGAGCAATGTGGACTGAAAGAACTGAAATCATCTGGTTGTTTTTATACATGGAGCAATAAACAAGATGGACCAGATAGAGTACTAAGCAGTATTGACAGGGTGGTCACCAACATTGACTAGGTGAACAGGCTGCCATCATTTGAGGTTTATTACATGTCTGCAGTAGTATAAGATCATAGTCCTGCAATAATCAAATGGGAGGGAGATGGCACACCTAAGATGAGGATTTTCAGATACTACAACATATGGAGTATCGATAAAACCTTCATGTCAAGAGTGGAGGGCAATTGGATACAACCAATAAAGGGAACAAACATGTTTAAAATTGTGGGAAAATTGAACAGACTTAACAAAGTATTGCTAAAGTTAAATAAATATAAGTTTACAGAATTGGAGAAATAGGAAGATGAAAGCATGAAAAAACCGGTAAAGTGTCAAGAGAAAATACAAAAGGATCCCAGGAATGAAGTATTAGTCAGAGAGGAGGAAGATTTGGCACAACAATGCATATACTGGAAGAAAGCAAAAACAAACTAACTGCAGCAGAAGAGTAAAATACAGTGGCTCAAATATGGAGATATGAACACAAACTACTTTCACTCTGTGATTAAGGCTAAGAGAGCAGCAAGTAGGATATTTACAATTTAGAACATGCAAGGAGAAACGGTTCAATCAACAGATACAGTAGCTAATGCTTTCAGTGAGTTCTATAAAAGATTACTAGGCACTGAGCAACAAAGCATGGATCATGTGGCAAGCCATATAGTCAAAGAGGGACATACTGTTTCAGAAGAACAAATGTTCCATTTGATAAGAGTTTTGTCACAAAAGGAAGTTAAAGAAGCACTATGGGACATAGAAGGGACAAAGGCACCAGGCCCTGATGGGTATGGCAGCCAATTTTTCAAGATTATATAGCTGGACCATTGTAGGTGAGGATGTCACTGCAGTTATGCTGGAATTTTTTCAATCTGGGAAAATGCTCAAAGCTCTCAATAGTACAGTGATAACCCTCATACCAAAAACCTCTCATGTTGCAACAGTAGAAGATTATAGACCTATAGCATACTGTAATGTGATATACAAGATGATCTCAAAGATGTTGTGTAATAGATTGAAGCTGGTGCTACAGACATTAGGTGGTGTTAATGGTTCTGTTTGGTCGGTTATTTTATAAATTTTGTATCATATCAAATTTTCAATTATTCTATTATGTATAACCAAAATTAAACTTTTCGGAACCGTCCCAATCATGTCGGTTTCTCTTCGGTATCGATACGGTTCGGTAAATTTTCAGTAACTTTTTAAATATCATGTAAAAGTTACTAGTAGAAGTAGAATGCAATAACATACGTACTTTTATAGGATTTAGCAAAACTCTCTAGATATTTTTATTGTTTAAAAGGCAATGAAATAAGAAAATATGAAAAATGGCTAGAATATAGATCCATAAAATATTCTATAGTAGCGTAAACGAAAGTAAGCAAATATAAAATATATATATATATATA